GTGCGTGCGTGCGTGCGTGCGTGCGTGCGTGCGTGCGTGGGGGCGGGCGGGAGTGCGGGCGTGCGGGCGTGCGTGCGGGCGGGCGTGCGTGAGAGAGAGAGAGAGAGAGAGAGAGAGAGAGAGAGAGAGAGAGAGAGAGAGAGAGACAGAGACAGAGACAGAGACAGAGAGAAGCGATGATCGGTAGAGAAGACCGACTTCGTTCGCTTGAGACGGCGGCATCGTTGTAAGAGGCGGCGGTACCGTTGTTGATAAAACAATAAACGACTTTCGGCGACTTTCGGCGTCGATTGATGGCGGCGACTGAAACAGTCGAAACTTAAAACAAGCGATATGCGTTTTTCCGAGATGCGAAATGCGAAGCGTACGAGCGACGAGAGAGTCAGTCTGGATCGGCCTAGCGAAGAGAGCGGGTCGATTTTAGCAAGTGAGAATCTGAGAGCGTAACGCGTGAGTGTAGAGTGTCTATAGAGTATCGTCGAATCTTTCCCGAATCTTCTGGCCTTTGGTTTCATGTACTATTCAATAAACTTAGTATACACTATACAACCTTATATCCCTACAATAATACTAAAAGATGTTTAACAAAGTAGTATTACACGTTAACATAAATGTAAGACATTATGTAATTCAATTTAATTTATCAATGACTAAACATTCGTTACTATTTCTATAATATTAAAAAAGACATGTGACTTAATTAAATTCCATCTGACTTAATAATTTCATTTGAATTATACCTGTATATTACAAAATTATTTTACCTTGCCAATATGTTTTCCACTGGCCATATATCTAAATGCAGCTTCTACTTCATTCCTTTTAAAGATCTTTCTACTTAGCGGTTTAATAATGCCCTTTTCTAAATAGTCTGTGATTGCTTCCTGCAGTCTTATCACTGTTTTTGGACATTTAAACAAGAAGTTGTCTAATAAAATAGAATGAAAATTGATCCCTTTATAGAAAACTGATGTGTCCAAGGGATTATTAGAAACCATATCGTATTTTCCAATTTCCAAAAAACGGCCACCATTTGCGAGACAGCGAACGGATGCTTGCAATTTCTCTTCGGCTAAAGAATTCAATACGATATCTACTCCACGACCTTTTGTACGCTGCATAATCATTTGTTCGAAGCTTGTATCGCGAGAGTTTCCAATATTTTCTTCCGGAATAGAGGGAAACGTTTCTCTTATAAACTGCCTTTTTTCTTCTGTTCCAACTGTTGTAAACACTTCGCAACCTTCATAAAGGGCAAGATAGATCGCAGCTTGTCCAACACCTCCAGAACCCGAATGGATCAACACTTTGTCTCTCCTTTTTATTTTACCGTGCATATATAAAGCGCAATAACATGTGCTATACACACACGGAACTGTTGCTGCGTCTTCCAGTGTCCACTTATCGGGTACTTCCCAACTTAGATATTTGTCAGGCACGCAAACGTTTGATATTCCTCTAAACATAATAATATTTGAAAGTTATATTATAATTTTGAGTGTGATTACAACTAGATGTTTTAATGCAATTATGTTTATCATGTAAATTATATTATACAATATAGGTATAGATAAAAATGAGAATTGTAATAATTCATTAACTATTTTATTTTTTTAATTCTTTAATTTTTTATGAGTTTATTTTGTAATTTATCTAACATGTTTTCGACTTGAATTAATATTTAGTTTGATAAAATTGAAATTATATAAATTCTGCTATACATATATGAATTGTTTTCTTCATTAGTGGTTATTAATAATTTTTCAGTATTATTAATAAGTATATTTGTCATTTTACCCATATGCGCACATTCCCATAATTCTCTGTCCATGCATGTCAAATCCAACATATTCAAAGCCGAGTAAATCGGATAAAGCATTAGAGGAAAATGCCGTATTTCTGATTCTACCAGTGGCCAACATAATATCTTTAAAATTTAGAGGCGAATAAATTACATTAATAAGATCTTCATGCTTAATGTGGGAAGGTAAATCAACGTGCGTCCAGCGAAAAGTATTCAGATCTCCTAGTACCTGTTATGAATAACACAAATAATAATTACGCTTTAAAGGACAAGGAACGCTATCCTAGGCCGTGTGTGTGCGTATTAACAATAGAGAGTTAATAAAAATATATTTTCAAGTTTCAAATATTAATACTTTGTAAAATCTTTAAGTTCAAATTTTTCATTTGAAAAGAAATATAAATTTCTCGACGAAGGGAGAGGTTGCTTATTGTTACAAGTAATGATTAAAAATTGAGACGGGAAACTTATAGTCAACATAACTAGCTAGTTATTTAATTAGTTTATTACACAGCGTTTCGACCCTATTCTTTTGGGTCCTTTTCGAGTGATAGTGCAAATCAACAACAACGCAA